AGCAGGTTTTGACAAAAGGGACAGAAACATGGAGAAGAAGGGCTCAGAGGAAAGAAAGCAGTATAGTAAAAGAATGCTGGGGAAACCAGCCTCCCAAATATTTTGGCCAAGAGCCCAACCATGAAGCTCAACACCTGAAGCCTAGGAGCTGAAGGGAACCATAGCAATCATGTTTACCACCCTCCTTATCTTGGGACACAATCCTTTAGCCAAAACCACTGGGACAGATGTGTTTCAGATTCCAGAATGTTTTATACTTTAGAAAGATGTTAGGATTACCAAGACATAAATTGTGTAACACCCCTAGCAATTTTCTGGGGAAAAACACTGTAATCCACCAGGCTAATCTTGCTGCAGGAAAATGTATAAATATTTACACAAAGTGGGATGCAGCCTGTCAAAAGCATATTAATTCAGGTCCAGTTTGCCATGAAAAGAGTTTACACCACACTGAAGGAAAATGTGTGGTGTTGAGAGCTCCTGGGACCTTGAAGTTGGGAGTGAACAGTTGTATAAAGGGCACAGCTAAGATGTCCACCAGCCATGTGACTCATCCAGAGGTGCACACATAGTTCACTGCAAATTCAACTCAGTTTTCACTGCATACTACTGAACATCTGCCAGGTCCCAGGCACCATGCTCAGCACTGAGGTTCTGTCATGTATTCATATTCAGGGCTGCTGCATCAAAGTACCACAAACCAGAGGGATTAAAACAACAAAGTACCACAAACCAGAGGGATTAAAACAACAGAAATTTATTGCCTCGCAGTCGTAAAAGCTAAAATCAAGTTAAAAATCAAGGAGTCAGCAGGACTATACTCCCTCTCAATCCTGTAAGGAGAGTCCTTTCTTGCCTTCTGTAGTTTCTGGTGGCTCCTGGCACTCCTCAGCATTTCTTGGCTCGTGGATACATCACTCCAATCTCTGCTTCTGTTGTCACATGGCATTTTGCCTGTGTGTCTGCCTCTTTTCTTATAAGAATACAGTCACATTGGAGTAAGAGCTCACCCTACTCTAGTATGACTTCATCTTAAGTGATTACATCTACAGTGACTCTACTCCCGTGTAAGGTCACATACTGAGATACTAAGGGTTAGGTCCCCAACATACATTTTTTTTTTTTTTGGAGACACGGTTCAACACATAACAAGTGGTAAACCAAAATAGACCTAGCCCCATGCCCTCATTAAGCTAGCAGTTGAGTGGGGAAGTCAGATTACAAGTATGTTGAGAATTTTCAAATGGGAAAGTATTAATGGGACCATACAATGAGAGAATTTTACCCAGTTGAGGGTTTCCTCCCGGAAGAAGTAGCATTTTAAATGGAAATGAAAAAATGAGTAAAAGCCAAGCAAAGAGGGAGAGAAGGCACTAACGCCTTCACTCTCTGATGCCTAGACCAGAGCCCCCTCCTCCTTGCACTGGGCTTCTGTAGAAGCCAGGCCCCAGAACCCCAGGCAAGGCCTCTCGGTGTCTCATAGACCACCACTCATAGCCAAGCTTGCCCCCAGGCTGGCTCCTCCTGGCCTGCAGTTCCTCAGAAACAGCCAAAGGCACAGAATGCAGGGATTAGGGCATCAGCACCCAGCAAGACCCAGGCCCACAGTTGCAGCCTCTCTGCAGGAGAGAACATTTATGTTGTTGCTTATTGTTGCAGTTTATTCTCATTGCTCTATATAGTCTTGTATGAAGATGTCATAATTTTTTATTCATTCATGTGTTGGGGAGAGTCTCTGCTTTTTCTTTTTTGGCCTAAGTTGATTAAAATATTTTTGACCCAGAATCAGCAGTCTTTAATATACAGATAGCTTCTGCTGACCTCCGTCCTTGAGAATGCCGTGCACTTTTAGCAGGGCAGGCAGATATGTCTGTTTCGTGAGTTTCTCTGAGCAGTGCTCAGGTGGCCTCATGGCTGCCAAAATGTCTCTGCTTCAAGATCCCAGGGGCCAGAAGTGGTGGCAAAGTTTGGGGAAATGAGGATGTAAAGCCTCTATTTTGATGAGTGTTAACCTTGGGACAGCATTAGCTGTGTAGGCAGCTACTTTATGAGACATACAAAGAAGGGTCACCAGCATTGGCCATGGCTGTTAGATTTTGTTTTATACCCACAACATTTTAGCATTTCACTTAAGAGTAGAAAGAAAACCTTTTTTGAAGCATAATATGTATAAGAAAAGTAAACACAAATCTTATGTGTTCACTTGGTAATTTTTCGTAAAATGAACCCAGATCCAGCATCCAGATCTACAAAACACCCCAGAAGCCCTCCCCACAATAGCCCTCTTCTAGTTTTTACCCACCAAGGGTAGCCAACATCCTGGCTTCTAACACAGTGGAATAGTTTTGGCTTTTGCGCTTATATAAATCACAGAGTATGAGTTTTTGTGTTTGCGGCTTTGTTCCATCGATTTGATGTTTGTGAGATTCATTTATGTTGTTGCTTATTGTTGCAGTTTATTCTCATTGCTTTATATAGTCTTTTATGAATATATCATAATTTTTTATTCATTCATGTGTTGATTAACATTTGGGTTTTTCCAGATTTGTGCTATTATGGACAGTGCTGCTATGGATATTCTTGCATATGTCTTTTGATGAACATATGCAAATTTGGGAGAGATATATACTTGTATTGGTTGTCTATTGCTACAAAACAAATTTCCCTCCAAACCTAGTAGCTTAGAATGAAAGTAAACATTGATCCCCTCTCACAGTCACAGTTCATGTGAATGAGGAATTTGGAGGCAGCTTGGGCAGGCATTTCTGGCTTGAGGTCTTTCCTGAGGTTGCAGTTATCTAAAGGCTAGCTTGGGGCCGAACGGTCTGCGTTCAAAGTAGCTCACTCACATGGCTGGCAAGTTGATGCTGATTATTGGTGGGGAGGCTGCAGTTTTGCACATGAACTTTTCTTAAGACTGTATGGGTATTCTCATGGCATTGTGGCTGGCTTCCCCACCACCATGAGTGGGCAAAGAGAGAGCATCAAATTGGAAGCATTATCCCATTTTTTATCTAGCCTTGAAAGTCACATAGAGTCACTTCTGCCTCATTTCATTCATTAGAAGTGAGCCAGCAAGTCCAGCCCATACTCAAGACTCTGCCTTTAGAAGGAAGGCATGGCAAATAATGTATGAATGTATCTTAAAACCAGTAACGCCACAACATCTTAAAGCTTAGAATTAACTTAAGCTAAGTGTTTAAAAATAAGTTTACAGAAATTTATACAAGGATCTGAAAGAGATATATTTAACCTAGCTTCTCCTCTTCTATTCATTTAAAACTTTGCAAATGTTCACAGGAGAGTTTTTAAGGTATTTTTGGAGATAGCATGGTACAGTGGAAAGTGCAGAGCCAGAAACAACCAAGTCTGAATTCTGGACTCATTACTTACTAATGATGGGTATTTGGACAAGCCAGCCTCTTGGATTCTCACATTCCCTCAACTGCAAAATGAGAATAATCAATAGAGCTTATCTCATATTGTTCTGGAGGTAATTAAATGAGATGATATGTTAAAGTGCCCTCTATGATGGTAGGTTTCATCGATTTGCTCATTTATCAGGCATTTATTAGCCTAAAAGCTGCTCTGATGGACCCTGTGATTGATACAAAACTGACTCAGATGCAGACTCTACAACAGGAGGTCTGTACTCTAGTAGGGCCCTTGACAGGTGGAATAACCATAATACAGTTGAGAAAATGGTCATTGTGGAGCACGTGTTGATACAGTGTTTTAAATATAGATCATATTTGGATATGTAGAAATGAAAGACATTTTGAGGGGCAACAAAAGGGCAAAAGATATTCCAAATTAGGAATGCAACTTGCATAAAGACACAACTAGAAAACCATGGGGCATAAATGGAGAAAAACAAACAGGTTATTACAGATATGGCTAACCTTAGTATAGATGAAAGGAGGTAGTGGAAACAGGTTGGAAAGTTAGTTACATGTCAGAGCAGTAGTAAGAGATTGAGCGCATACGCTTAGTTTTACAGTCTGATGAAAAACATTTAGGTCAAAAAATTTTCAACAAACTTTCAGGACAAAAGTTTGGTGGGACTAGCTGCTAGAGGATCTACTTAACATGCTTTTCTTGGCCAACTCCTGTTTGTAAAATCTTTGTCTTCAGATTGTAAACAGAATTTTCTAAAACTGATCTTTAGAGGATGCTTCTGACTAAGAGCCTGAGCAACTGAGCTTTGTCCTTATCATTCCCAGTTTGGAAGCTGCATCTGCAGGAAAATTCAGTGGGATTGTTTTTATAGGCCCTTAGCTCACTATAAATGTACTTCTCAAGACGTGGCCCTTTGGAAATGGCCAGTCTGTGCACTCAACTCATCTGCATATTTGTCTGCTACATCTAGATAATGAGCCATTCTCTTCACTTACTTCCCCTCAAGAAGACTGATCGATTCAGCAGCTTTCACTTCTGTTACATTATCCAGTCCCAGGCACTGATGATATTTAAACATAAGACAGAGACGTTTCTATGCAGTGATGGAACTTTGAAGGAAGTCGGAGCCCATGACCTTTTACTTTGAAGCCAAAGAATTACAAGCATTAAATTTTCAGTCTTGCTAAGAATGGGAGCTGGAGAAATTAGCGGAAAGTCCTCTTTAAGCCCCACAATTCAGTATGTGGTGCCCAAAGCCTTTATGTACTCAATCTGTGTCTCTTCTAGCATTCCTCTCTTATTTTGATGACGTTTATATGTCCTATCAGAATGGACATGGTTGTAACCATTATTGGTGATTTTGTAGATAAAAATTGGATATTCCATTTTATCTCCCTCTTTGCTTTAATATAAATGAATTCTAGAGCGTTAAGGGAGAGGATAGATGCTAGGCTTAGGATGGAGCTGCCAGCTGATCTTGGGCTGGCACTTCCCATATTCCCAGGTAGGGGTTTTTACTCCATTAGCAACATTGGAGTTCATGGGAAATGTTCTCTGCACAGGTACTGAGGGTGACCTTTTCCTCTCTGATTTCTTCTCAGGTGGGAAATTGGCAAGTGGAGTCCATGTAGTCTCACTTGTGGGGTTGGCCTGCAGACCAGAGATGTCTTCTGCTCCCACCTACTTTCCAGAGAGATGAATGAAACAGTCATCCTGGCTGATGAGCTGTGCCGCCAACCCAAGCCCAGCACAGTGCAAGCTTGTAACCGCTTCAATTGCGCCCCAGCCTGGTACCCTGCACAGTGGCAGCCGGTGAGTTCTGAGGTTACTCAATATTGGAGCTTGTGTTTGCAACAGTGATTCAAAAAAGGGATGCTCTCTCAGAGTGGTTTTGTCCAGGGATGTTAAAGGATGTTTAAGGTCTGCTGATTTCTGCCTTTTTAGTATGCCACTAACCTGATTTAAATCCAGATCTTTTAATAACAAATATCATGCTTTTTCTACTGTATCACACCTCAGTGACCTCCAAAAGCAACTCAGATGACCCATCTGTTAACCTGAGCATATTTATGATGAAGCAGTCACTGAGCAAAGGAAATTTAAAAAATAAAAAAAATAAAAAGACAATGTGGTAGGCTTTCCATAAAGCTAAATTTGTTCTTAATTTATACCCTTTCTAGTTTTTTTGCTGTTTAAAATTCAAAGAAATAAGGGTAGTAGGCAATGATTTTTTTAGCATCATTACTTAGCAAAATAAGTAGTTAGAAATGCTGAGCCAATTCCAAATATTTTTATTTTCCTGGTCCTATGAATTCCAAAAGTCTGGGAACCATCGTTTCAAAACAGCATTGACAAGCTGCAGCCCTCAAGCTAATTCTAGCCTGCATCCCTTTTTTTTTTTTGTAAATAATATTTTATTGGAACACAGTTACACTCATTATTTTACATACTGTCTATGGCTGCTTTTGCACTACAAGGGAGAATTGCATGGTTGTGATAGAGAACATATGGCTCATAAAGTCTAAAATATATGCTATCTATCCCTTTGCAAATAAAATTTCTGATCTTGCACCAGGCATACATAATAATAATACTAACACAACTATTTTATCATAATTTTCTATCTAAAAATAAAATGCCTTTATCAAACTTTAGGTAAATAATCTTTTTGCATGCTTTTAAAAACACAGGATTTTAGGTTGATTGCATAAAATTTTATTTTGCAATTTGTTCCCTATTAGGACATAAGACACAGCTTTAAAGGGACAACAAAGGTCACAAAAAGTAAGCATGAAAGGTGGAGGGGACATACATCTTTGTTTCACTGAGACAGTTTTTTCACCCTCAGAAGTGTCCCATTTGGGTGATAAATGATGTGGTCATCAGTGAAGAAGGAGAGAGGATGACAGCTCACACACTCTTGCCTTGCGCAGAAGGGGCTCCTGTTTCCAGGCAGGAGCCTGTGGCCTCCTCTGTGCTTTTTCCTAGTCAGTTAGGAGAGCCGCTTCTTTCTCCTTGCTCCTTGCCCGTCTTGGAGCTGTGGTTTAGTAAAATACTCAAAGAATCAAATCCTGGCGAGTAAGCAAAACACAAAATATGAAGCCTCTGGTAACAGACATTAAATATATATTTTCTTTTCAAGCTTAAATGTATATGGCTAAGTTTAATTCCATGCTACTATGGATGATTTGTAGAAGTTAAGAGAATGTCATATATTTTGAACACCAATACCGGCACTTAAGAAATATGTATTATCGCACACCTAGTTGAAGTAAATCCTCACAATAATTCAGTAAAAAGTAGGTTTTATTAGCCTTATTTTAGGCTTCAGGAAACTGAGGCAAACACAGTTAGCAAATTTAGGGTTGGCCATCAACTCAGCTTATGTGACCCTTTCCACTCTACCAAACCCATGTGTACGGCTACAAGGCCTTCAGGGGTTAAACATGAGCACTTTTGTTTTACAGATGATGTAACTTTGGCCTAGATATAGGCTTGCTTAAGATCATAAAGCCTGGATCTGATTTCTAGTGCGATTATACTACCTTACCTCTAATTGAAGTGAGTCTGTGACCTTAAACAGCATCACTAACCTATGCCAATCCTAATAAAAGGTGAGGAAGCATCTCAAATCAACCTCCACTGTTGAAATTGTTAAGTCCCCATATTATTAGTAGCTTGTTGCTATTAGGTACATAGATTATGGATAAAATGTTTCCTGAATGATGAAATGAATGAATAGATGAAGAATATTTCTTATGGGTCCTGAAAATGCTGGCTTTACATCTTACTGATTTTTTTTTAATAGTTATAGGTCTTAATATTGTTCTAGCCTTGAATTGAGTGAAACATCAATGCCTTTTTGATAGCCACACATGCTGCTAAATAATGATGTTGACTCATGAAGGCTTTTCAGTTTTTCGGCCACAGCCACACATACGACCTTTTTTTTTTTTTTTTTTTTTTTTTTTTTTTTTTTTTGGTCAATTGCCACTGCCACTACCTGTATGCCCAGCATCCCTATTTGAAACAGTGGACTTCCAAAGAATCACTTATTCTTTAATTTTCATCTACCTTGGGCCCGTGAAGATAGGAATTTACTTTGAAAGCTTTCCTATTTCCTTCTATTGTGGAGAAGCCTTTGAGGATGAGTCAGGTTTCAGTCCATTTTTCAGGTTGGGAAACTTAGTAGTAAACAAGTGTTTGAAGTTCATCCAATGAATCAGTAACTACAGTTGAATAGGACCTTTAAAAAGTCTCTTCTTTCACACCTGAGACCCAATAATTGTGAAAAATAGTCAAACATAACAAGAAATAACATAGAGTGTGAAGGTCAGCAGTGTTTCTACCGTCCAGAGACAGCCCTTGTTAATGATTTGGTGCACAGGGTCTGTTTGTCCAAGATGGAGAAACCCCATCTCTACTAAAAAAAAAAAAATACAAAAATTAGCCGGGTGTGGTGGCACGTACTTGTAATCCCAGCTACTTAGGAGGCTGAGGCAGGAGAATTGCTTGAACCAGGGAGGCAGAGGTTGCAGTGAGCTGAGATCGTGCACCCAGGCTGGGTGACAGAGCAAGACTCTGTCTTGGAAAAAAAAAAAAAAGAATATTTGATCACTTTTAGGAATCTCTAAACCTGGAGTAAATAATAGACCAATTCATCTTACATTATTTACTAGAATCCAACTTCTTACGTTCCGTTGGGAAAAATTAGCTAATGCTGACTGCTTGTGAAAAGAAACCATTGTTTATGCTGTGTGATTCAATAAATCCAGAGTAACTTCAGGGGTCCCTGGGCTAGTTGGCTGTGGTTTTAGAACCCAGCTTAGTTAGGACACCAACTGTTGACAATCCATTGCCTGGTTAGCCCTGATTCGTCAACAGTTCTTACTGGGAAAGGGAAACTTGGCATACACTCACGTTCGTCTTTTCCATTTAGAAAGGATCTGCCAGAGAATAATGCTGAGGTCTCCAATCCTTACACCCAACTTACAGCCTCTTTCTTAAGAAAGAAGAGGAGATGGGGGGATCGCATGTTTCATTTAAAGGAATACAGATAACAGCCTGATAGACACTAGGGTTTGAGGGGAGAAACTCTCTCATCACTGTGTGAACACAGAGTTATCACTGACTTGATGTGTATGTTTTTTTTTCTGGGGGGGGGAAAAACATAAATTATGTAAATTGTCATCTGTCAGATAGGAATGTAAACTTCTTTGTTCTTTGTAGAGCATTAGTCTGACAAATGGCAAATAGCCAACGTTTACACATTCTGCAGGTCCGGAGAGGACCTAGCATGGAGTCCAAGTGTTGATGTTGAAATTTTGTTTTAGAAACAATTAAGCAGAAATGAAGCAGAAATCTAATTCTAGCTTCGGTTGTGAGGGGGCCGTGTTTATTTCAGTTCTGCCTGTTGTTTAGTACACTGTCCTTTGCTTTTCATCTCTGGTCTGTGGGAAGGAATCATTTCATATTTATCTTTACCAATTTATTAATAGCTTTAATATCTTGTTAGTTTGTATTTAGATGGCTTTTGAACACTTACTTTTCTGCACATTAGTCCTCGGCATCTTCTGTAATTTATTAAATACACACATCATCATCATCATCCTCTTCGATGTTGGTTTTAAGTGACTTACTGTACACCTCATGAGGGATCATATCACATGGGTGAGTTACAACAGCATAATTGAGAATCAGTGTTACCTATACCACAGCTTAGTCTCAAACACTTTGATCATGACTGTCTACTGCTAGGATTTTTCTCCGTGACTCTCAAGCCAGTACATGTCTTCTTCAGGCCTTCATCCCTCTGTGCATCCACCCCTACCCTGTCTCCAGGCATGGCTCTCCCATCCCTGCTCGTACACTCCTCTGCCCACCTACCATTTCCCCCTCCCCTCTGCTGATCAAGGCCCAGCAGACAGCCTCCCTCTTCTGCAGTGTCTCCTCTGTAATCTTTCTACACTGAAGCCACATCATGTTCAGGGAAACACAGCTCACTTAACCACGTGTTACCTGCTCAGGTGCTTTCTCATGACTTCTGAGCTAGACCACAAGGTCAATGAAGGCAGAGACCAAGTCTCAATGAGACCCCATAACACCCAGGACACACCTGCAAAGCACTGGGTTTGGTGCTGGGAAGGTACATGCCCATTCTCCTGGTCTCATTTATTGAGCACTTGCTACGTTTCAGGAGCTGCTGCTTTTTATGACAGCAGCACTTTCTCTGTGTTCACAACAGCTCTAAACACTTTACATATTCAGCTCACTTAATCCTCACTGTCCTATGTGATTGCTACTATTATTGTCCCCATTTTACATGTGAGGAACCTGAAGCACTGTGAGCTTAATTGGAATTTGAACATTCTCTATTAGACCTCATTTGCTGCACTTGGCCTCCCTCTTTTGAGCCTCATGGCGACCTAGTGAGGAAATCAAGTCACAAAGCTGGTAGATGCAGAAGGGGGCCTGTGTGCTTCAAACTCATTTTCTTTTCCACTATGCAGTGTGGCTTTCCCAAGATGTCTTTACCATCTGCTCTTAACTATTAAATTCTGAAGAAATCTGGTAACAGTCCTAAAATCAGCAGTTTACAGAACACTCGGTATTTGTTGCTTCTATCCAGGACAGTTCTGTGTGTTGGCTTCCTATTGCTGCTGTAAGAAATTACCACAGACTCGGTGGCTTAAAACAACAGAAACCCACTATCTTATAGTTGTGAAGATCAGACGTCCCAACTCAGTCTCACCTGGCTAAATTCAGGGGATCAGCAGTCCTGCCTGCCCTCTGGAGATCAAGGGGAGGATCTC